GGATGACAGCTGCGTATGAATTAATTTATTTTCTGGTGCTTTCACTTCCAGAGACAGTTGTAAGCACTGTGTAACTGCCTCGAGGGTGCTTGACCATTTTAACACAACGTGGTGCGATCATCCCCCCCTTACGCGGAGCGAAGGTTCTCCACCCCGCACAACATGATCTACTCGACCACCATTATGCTTACCGCCAAAAAAAAAAAACAGAGGTAAAAAAAAACCCCGGTAACCTGGTTGCCGAGTTCACGAAGTGAATTGGCTTGTTTTACGAGGTGGGGGGTCTTTCTAGCGAGCAGGGCTAGACTCACCCTCGAGGGATCGATACCTTCTGGCTGCGGCGCACCCGCCGCGAGGCGTGCGTAGTGGTGGAGTTGGGTCGGCACTGGTGCGTCAGGTACAAAGGTGCAGATACGCGGGCCTCCAGGCCGTCGGTGTAGGCAGCAATGCCCATCTCATCTTTGTGCGCGGAGGCAGACGTCATCAGAAAGGTGGACGGGCACAATGTGCACGGCCCTAGGTCTTTCTAGAGGGAGCTGTACTGTCTCAGTAACCTGGTTTTGCCATCAAAGGAGGAGGGGACAGGTGGTGACGAGCTGATTGGGCTGGTTGACCCTTCGGCGCGAGCATTTTTAGACCAAGAACCCTAAGTGCAACGAGGGAGAAAGCGAGGAACCGAATGGGAAGGACAGCAACGAGAGTGTGCACGAAGCGGAGCGGATCGAGTTTGGTCGTGCTAGGACTGGCCACAGCGGCGCCGGAGCAGCGGAACCGGAGCAGGCGGACGGCATCGAACCGTGGCGCACGGGCAAACATCTCTTGTGTTGTCAAAATATTTTTTCCGTTGTTTTCCTGAATACAGGTGTTGGGTGTGTGTGACGACGTCACTGGTTTTGTAGAGAGACGCGGCAGAGATGGCGCGGATAACCCGGGTGCCTTNTGGAACGATTCCTAGTCAGTGTCGATGTTCACACTGCTGTGCCTAACACAGATGACCTGGATAGATTCGGGTGATTGTCAATTGCAATGATGGCTTTGGTTGGGTGTTCTTCTTCATTGCATGTCCACGGACTCATTCTGACAGCACTTCAGACAGCAGCTGCATGCCCCGAGCTTGTGTACCATACACCATGGTGTTATTATTGTACAGACATCCCTTCAGACAGCTGTACGCTGTAGTCGACAAACATTCATTTCGGTTAAATGCGGGACAAGGGGGGTGATGCTGCTGCTGTAGTCNCCTTCAGACAGCTGTACGCTGTAGTCGACAAACATTCATTTCGGTTAAATGCGGGACAAGGGGGGTGATGCTGCTGCTGTATGTAGTCGATTTGTAGTGTGTGGGCGTGTAGTTCAGTTGTGAGCATTCAAACGTGCTGCAGGGATTGCAGGTGTACCTCCTCGGGCTTGCGTACCCTTTTCTTGCTAATAGTGTGTGTGTTCTTTAGATCTTCTGATGGCTCTAGCATTTTTGTGACCACGGACCGAGTCTTACCTAGATTTTGGTATTAGCAACTGACACGAGTTGAATGTGAAGAAAAACAACAACAACAACAACAACAACAACAACAACAACAACAATGGCCCTGGGGGCACATGTCGCAGAAGAAGTCCTCCACGATTCATATTTTCGCCTGAATTTTTATTCCCTCACGCCAAAAACAAAGCTGATGGAAAAGAGACGGGTATGTTTTGATAGAGTACGAAAAGTATAGAAATGTACCGTTTCGGTATTCCACAAACAACCTTCGGAAGTGCGGAATCTCCCCGGTGAATGCGTTTTCGGTCGACGGTTGTTTCTCGGGTAGGAGAACTTCCGCGATGGCAGCAGTCGCTTTTATCCGTGATGACGAAGGCACAAGTACACCGCCATCACGACCTCTTCGAGGAACAAAGTGCCCTCGCAGATCACATAGAGTCCCCCCTCCCATACCTTGTGGTTCATCCCACACGTACTGCGGTAGGTTGGGTAAGGTATCACACACCCTGGACCGATTTCCGAAGCTCCATGTCTCGGCAGGGAAAGCAGTAACGGTGCCGAAATGGCGTCTCATGGAGAGTTCTTCCCGAAAACGTATCCTCCAGCTTCGGCATCCTCTTCATCGTGGAGTAATCGAGCTTTGAAATCGAACCAGGGGGTGTGGTATCTTATGCAACCTACGGTAGCCTGGACCGGCGAAAGCCCGGCGTATCGATCCGTCCCGGCTTATCGGGATGCGAAGCCAATGGTGTGACGATTACGGCATGCGTTTACAAAAGGACGCACACACCCTCGCCGGGGGGGGCACTTACCGTTGTCGATTTGATGTTGAAATATCCATGAGGGAGAGCCGGTTTTAATCTACATCGCCGACCACAGCAGTCGTGTGGCGAAACCTTGATGACGGCGATTTTCCTGCCGGTTGGAGGATGACCCTTTCTTTCTTGCAGCTCTGTGCTGTACTTCCAGATGATGAACGGCCTAGATGCTTTCTTTCTTGCATCTCTGTGTCGCATGTTCCAAAAGGATGAGCAACTTCAACGCACCGTAGGCTAGGACAACGCACAACTGTTGCCACGGTTCCTCGGAACGCGCAACGGACTACCCCACTATCCCACAAGATTTTCTCAACTTTTTTTCTCGGAACCACTGACTCCTCCTACGCCCACGTCGCACATGCTTTAACCTATCGCAGTTTGCGTCAGCGGGCAAGGATGGTGCTGGTGCGACCAGCTCAGCGTCTGGGAGGAGCGGGAAAAAAGGGGGTGGGTCGAGTCAACTTCCAGCCTCAGCCGCTGAAGAACGGGGCGCGGCGGCCGCAGCGGCGGCGGCGGCTGCTAATATGATGCCTGCACTGCCAGGCACTGCGAGCGGTAGGGGCCGCATGGTCTCAATTGTTGCTGAAAATAGACAGTGCCATCGTGTTGGTCGAGATTATCGTCTCGAGCACGTACGAGTTACCTAGTCTTAGTTCTGCAGAACTGCGCAACTTCTCCTCAAGGTAGTCGTCGCCACATCACTTCGACGTAGGCGGGGGCGGGTGGAACAACAGGCGGAGCACACACAAAGAAGGGAAAAACCCTAACCCTAAGCAAGAACAGAGTGGGCAGAGAGCGTCGGGGATTTGCCACGACGCTTCGCCAAGGAACCCCTCTCCACCACGTTGTGCCCCGCGTACTACGAAGTTCCTCTCCTTCTCATATCCCTATATATATAATATATATATACTTAAGTATATTATAAAATATTTGTTATATATATGTCCGCACTCCAACCCCTGATCCGAACCCCTGATCCGAACGCACGCAGGCATGACCACGGGCAACGCTAACACCAGCGTCAGCAGCATCAGCACGGCCGCAGCCAAGGTTAGGGTGTCCTTCGGGGGACTAGAGGCGGGAACCGTAAACAGCTTGGCCGGCGGCGGCGGCGGCGGCGCCGGTGGCGGCCCAGAGGATCCCGACCAACGCGACGGCCGCTCACATCACCGGCAAGGCGACCCCGCGGCTGCGAAGCACGGCACCGGCGCGGGGGGCACCGTCGTGTCTTTGACGAAGCGGGGCGCCACCGAGCGCCGCAGTAGTAACGGAAGTAACGGCAGCGACGGAACGCCCGGCTTCGGGAGCTCCGTAGTTCCAGGGGGGCTGGCAAAAGGAAACAGCGGGGTGGTGGGGGCGGGCGGTGCTGGAAAACCCCGGCGTCGGGCGCGGAGGGGGTCAAGGGGGGATGACTGCTCGAGGGGGTAAGCAGCGGGAAAAGGGTGATACCCAGTATGAGCAAGGGTACAAGGCCGTGGCTTCAACAATGACTATTTTCAGAAAATATTCACAACACAAAGAACGACTTCCCGCTCGAGATGCACTATTCTTCCTACTGCCAGGTGATCTCCCGACAAACACGCAAAATATTTCATCATTTCCAGGCCGCGGAATGTGAAAATGCTTCATGCTACATGGCGGCTGCACTGTACGTACATATGGCTGCACTATGTGAATCAAGTTTCGATGCAGGAGGTGTTGGTCGTGTCCCTCTCTCGCATGCTACAGACACCGCATGGCCCAGAGAAGCAGTTGCGTGGACGAAGTTTGTATCATCTGGCGTGTCAGGACCCGTGAAGAACCGAATTAACCCGTGGAGATGTTGCGCTAGGGCGCGAGATAGCAGGTTGTTGATAATGCAGGGAAACGATCACGTCAGTTTGGCACAGAACGCGCGAGACAGCTATTCGATTCGGCACCAAACCCAGTAAGCAGTGAACGTAAACATATTGCCCGTGAGCCAGAGCCGTGGCCAACAACCCCCGTTACCGTTTCGAGGAGACTCGGCGATATCTACAACTGGCCGTTGTACCTACTGTTTGTCTAATCCAGCGTATCTTATCCCCTCGGGGAACGGTCAACCCCCTTGTTGCGTGGGACGAGCGCCTTGCAAACCTTGGGTCTAGTGGCGACTCTCCTCGATTCCCCCGCTTTTATCCGTGTTCCCCATATCCGGTCACTGGTCTAGCATCTATAGCATGCAAAACATGTGTGCCCCCCTGCCTACCCGATGATACTTCGGCGTGATTTTCATGCAACCGGCGAAGATCTATGGACACGCTGACGACGACGAGCGTCTCGACGGTTACAAGAGGCGTGGCCCTTCAGTGGAAACCCAGGTGGGAAAAAGAAGCCGCTCTGTTTGCAGGTTTGCTGTTGTGGTTGAACGAATACAGCATGGGCCTAGCGATGTTCGGCGTACACCCGGATTGATATACTGTCGTTGGTTCTGCTGTCTTCCCTGCATCAATTGGTGGTACTTGTCTAAGGTTGTTTATTTTTTTGGTTCGACTGTTCTTGTTCTCGTTTCTACTGCTGACGCTGGCCGGTGCAAAATATTGCCGTCATGTTTAGCTGACGTTGCAGCCATCGTCTTCGCACTCGAACCCGTTCTGGTCTCATCCAACAACTCCTACTCCAATCAACCTACCGAAGATTGCACACGATATCATCCCCCCTGGACCGATTTTCAAAGCTCGTTTACTCCGAGACGAAGAGGATGTCGAAATCGAACGATTCGTTGTTGGAAAGCTCCCGACGAGACGGTTCCAACGCCGCTATTATCGGCACCGTCACTGCAGCTTTTCCTGCCGAGAAATCGAGCTTCGAAAACCGGTCTAGGGGGTGTGATATCTTACGCATACAACGGTATCGTCAACACAACACGCAACCCCACGGTATCGTCAATACAACATGCGATGACTTCAGTTGTGAGGTATTCAAAATACGCACATCTTGTTCGCTATACCCTGGACGGGATAACCATGAAATATTCTCGGGTGTCTCATCGCTCTGCCCAACGAAGCTTGTTTGGTTTCGAGAGCCAGGGGATAAGTGGTAGTTTAGGTTACCACTCCGCGGCAAAGCGATCATGAAGATGCAAGCACAAGAAAAACTCGGCTTTCGAAAAGAAGCAAACCCCGCTCAAAATGTCACGTTGAAATCGGGCAAGAAGCACAGCTAGCGCAGCGGACGACTCCACACAAAACTCAATACAGTAGCCTCTGTACTCGACAACGGTGTGGACGAAACGAGATATAGACTGCAGAACGCGTCACCACCTCAGAACCTCTTGTCTTGGTCGAGGCTCTGTTTTTAGTTTTGTCCATGGGGTACCCCTCCCGGCGACTACAATATATGTTTCGTGTGACTACCTAGGCTTTGGTGTGACTATGTAGGTATTAGTGTGTAGGCTTCTTGACTGAGCACCTGTTCTTTCGGCCAAGTTGTCACATGTTGGATATGTTGAGGCTCAAGCCTTAAGTGCTGAGTTCTTCAGCGATGGCGAGACAAGAAATAGACCCGCACCAGTACTCCTGCTGTGACGGATCATCCCAACTCGTTCGAAAGGCCGGTTGTTGTCCCTGGTATCCACATTCGGCCGTGGTGGTCCGGAGACAAGCAATAGGCCGGCACCACAACCCTTGTTGTGGCGCATCATTTCAACCCGATCGAACGGTCGATTGCGTCTCTGGCATGTGCCCGCAGGCTGAATGTAGAGCTGGGGAGCTTCGTGTACCCAAGCCTCATGCTGGAGAAGTCGGCGTGCCTCCAGATCGAGGCGCCAACTGACGGCCTAGCCGGTAGGTTCATGCGTGTCTGCCTGTGTCGGCGTCGCTGTCGTTTTCATGGTGATGGTGATAGTACAGTCTGCAGATGGAGGGCTCTGCTGACGGCCTAGCCGGTAGGTTTATGTTAATCTGCTTCAGTTGGAGGTCGCCGGTTTGAATTCATGGTGATGGAAATGGGATGCGGGTGTTAAGGTTGGTACGCTTGTGCCCATCCGCCTTCAGTTTGATGTCGCTGAATAATATTGTGGTGATGGTACCGCCTGCAGGTCGAGAGCTCTACTGACGGCCTAGCCGGTAGGTTGTACGCCAATTCGATTGTGTTGGCGTCGATACCATTGTTGTTGTCATGGTTTTTGGTCGTGGTACAGTCTGCAGATAGAGGGGGGCTGGCCGGTAGCTCTACTTCGCCAAACTGCTTCTGTTGGCGTCGATGTTCTGTATTGTGGTGATGGTATCTG